GAACGGGGCTCAGCAGCCTCTCAGTGGACAGACAGACAGTTTAAAGACAGCGAGGTGATTCATGGAGTTTCCTGATGGACTTGTTGCTAAAAGAGACAAACTGTTGCTAACGGTAATGTTAGTCCAAAGTGTCCGACTGAAACATAATCATTATTATAATCTTATGTGACAGTGGAGTTGACCTTGGATGATTTTTATATCTGTATACAGACTGAACATTTTAACAGAACCCTTTATACTGAGCAGTTCTGGATCCATATGAACATCCTGTTTCCTACCTGGGAGTGGGCTCGGTGGGCGGGGCAGAGCGGTGCATGGTGATTGGTCGGGTGAAGTAAACCAGACAGCCGGTGCCACAGAAACGGGCTCCGGAGGTCCGAGGGAACGGGATGTTGGCGTCCTGGAGAAAAGAGAGTGAGTGAGCTCTTCCTCTGCTCGTACCGTCAGCCTACCTGCTTCCTGTCACACTGTTACCTGGTAGGAGCCGTACGTGTTGGTGACTCGAGGAAACGCCTGCAGGGCCGGAGTGACGGGGTTGGACAGGACGAAGGGACCGGAGGGCGGACCGTCCTCCTGCGTCTGAGGGAGGACAGACATTATGTGAACTGTTGACCTTTGACCCTGCAGCGATAGAGTGCCAGGATGAGGTCACAACTGCAGTGTTTTAGAACCATTCATTTGACCTCCGCCCACTATCGCTGGTTCATTACCGTGACTACGTACTGATACTGAAACTAAATATTACAGGAACAAAAACGTATTCTAAATGAATTCCAGATGATCTCACAGTTAAAGTATTTTCATCTGAAACTTTGCAGCCACGGTCCTGTTTCTGACAACTACAACGGATGAGACTGATCCTCGCTGACTGTCTGAACTACAGAACTGCAGGAAGGGATCGGGATGGAAATGTGCCTCGTTACAATCTGACATTTCTCACCATGTCGGACTCCAGACAGGAAACCAGCTGCCGGACACACGGCTCCAGACAGTTCTGGTTCCTCTTCACCTTCTGAAGAGACGTGTCGGTCAGAATCTGAAAACACAAACAGTCCCAGTCAGAGCCTCGTCCACAGTGTCCTCTCTGAGTTCACAGAAACACTCAATGTTTAAATTAAAAGGTAAAAAATGGATCAATAAAAATGTTTCGTGGTGCATTCAGGAGCCTCGTAGTTTCTGGATCTTTGCACATTTTCCTTTTTGTCTACAGCAACAAAAAAATAAATCTGTTTATTTTGTCAAGAGGGCGAGCTGAAAACTGAATGGGGGTTTTGTTGTGGTGCGTTCAGGAGCGTCTGTACCTTCTGGATCTTGGTCTTCATGGCGGAGGGGATGGTCGTCGGGGAGACGAACTGGAAGGTGGGCGCGGCGTTGTTGGGATACTGGGCGGGAAACTTCACCACCAGGTGAACCTGATGGCTGCCGAAGTGAGCCGACACCACGCAGCTGCGGTTCACCGCGTCCATCTGCACGGCACAAAGCACGCAGTGTGACCTCACTTCCTGTTTGACTGTTTTCCATCTGCATATTGATTATGTTTACTAACTTTAAAACAGCTGCTTTTATTTTGAAAAGGCAGCTGTGAGATGTGTAGATTAAAACTGACGACTATATAATTAGATTCAAGTGATCTACGGCTGATAATAATCCCAGAACGAGCAGAATAACAGATATTAAATATTATGAAAGAAACATCCCAGACGCCCTGTGAACGTCTCACCTCCACGTTGACGTTTCTGATCTGTAGGTTGACCAGAGAGAACTCCTGCTGCAGAGTCTGAGGGAGACCCGAACCCACCGCCGAGTCCTGACGACCTCCAGAGTCCTGGTCTGAGGCGACAGGAAGAGGACAGGTGAGACTCATAAGCCCCGCCCCTTTGGCTCTGTGCTCCAATCACAGTTGAGCAAGCCTCAGTCAGAACTTCCTGTTCTTAGATACGCTATATGCTAAGAAGATGGTTAAAAGATAAAAGACATTTATATAGTCACATCTTAAATGAACTAATGTTAGCAATATGCTAGCTGAAACTATCTAACTAACGATTGATAGTTAGGGACGCAGCTGAAGTCTTTATGAGCGTCGTATCTACTTTTATAGTTTTACAGTTTTAAATAAAGATTCCTCAGCTGTTATCATGAACACGTGTTCAGTGTTTCTTTACATTAAAACTCACCCTGCAGGTTTCCTGCAGCCGGACCGACGCCGTGCTGACTGTCGGGCTCCTGAGACGACAGAGACTTCTCCGACTCCACGGTGAGAGACATCCCCTCCATCAGGTCCTCCACCGCGTCACTGACACACAGCTACACCACAACAACAACAACATCAACATCATCAACAACAACAACAACAACAACGACACGCAGACATCAGGAGGAGGCTGCACTCTGACCTTCTGTAGCTGAGGATCCACCCTCCAAATCCTCAGAGTCTGGTCTCTGGACCATGTGACCAGCTGGTAGTCCTTAGAGCCTGAATAAACAACAAGAAAACACTGTAAACAACAACAAACACTTTACAGCTACTACAGAACCGATTCCAAACTGCACTTCCTTGTAACTTTTAAGGGACGGCCTATTTGGTCTATTGTAGGTAAAAAAAACTATAATTATGGAGGGGGAGGAGGGAGAGGAGGGAGAGGAGGGGGGTCATATTCAGAGAAAGAAAGATTTACACAAATTAAAAAACAAATATTGTATTATTTTTCTTTTTAAGAGCATTTATAAACATAACACTTGTTTTCTGGGATTATTACTCCTCCCATGGCTCTGTAATAATAATAATAATAATTTTTTACCAATGACATGTTGAACGTAGTGAATATGACTATACTGTAATACAGATAGATAGATAGACTTTATTACCTAATATACTAATATAATACTGTATCAATATTTCAATATGTATGATTCAATACTCAGAACTACAATCTAAAACAGACATCAAGGAAATACTGTAACGGACAGAAAAGCTGCTTTTAGATAGTGTAGTATAAAATTGTATGTATGATGTTGAATATTATAAAGTTATATGCTAGAAATCAAGTTAATCACACAAAATGTATGGTAGTATGTTACGAGCACTAAGTCATTTAATCTATGTGAGATTTTAATTAAAATATTCAAAACAACACGTTTAAGCCACTGTTTAGCCTAGCTTAGCACAAAGACTGGAAGCAGGGGGAAACTGTTAGTGTCGCTCCATCAAAAGATTAAAAACCCACTCAGAAATCTCTGATTGTCACCTTCTTTCTGCGGCCTCCACTGAAACTCGAGCACTACGTCATCGTGTCCGACGAAGGCGTGGACGGGACTGTTGAGGTCGAGCGTGCTCCACAGTAAGAGACTGTTCTCCCTCCTCAGCTGAGGAACCATCACTGTGACCAGACCGTTAGAGAACGGCTGAGAACACACGCACATTATTATTCCACCACAGATCATCAATCATCAATAAGTGAGTTAGTGAGTCAGTAAACTGGTCAGGGGGACGTTCTTTATGTAGCTTTTATCTGTATAAACTGTATGTTCTCAAATAACAGCCGAGGCTCTAATACAGGCCTGTTATATAATGTGTCTGTGTACATTTCCATCGCTTTCATTTAGTGCCACAAGGTGGCAGTAGCTACATCTGAAGTGCTGTACGGTAACTCTTAGTCACTGAATCTTTTAGAAAAAGGTTCCTGCAAGTTTTTCAAAATAAAAGCCTTGTTAGGAAATGAAGGGATTCTGTCCCCTGAAAACTCTTCTTGAACAATATTTAATGAAATTTTTGATACACAAATATTCTTAACTGTTACAATATAGATTCAAACATAAAAATTATAATCTGTTGATTTGTATTGGTCCAGTTTTACCATTGTGCAGCCCTAAGAGACATTTTATAATGTGTTCCTATTGGATGAAATAATAATTAATTATTTATTAATATAGTATGATACAGAACTACATCAAATGTTTGGTACCATTGGATTCAGAACAACTTTTGTGTCAATAAAATGTGCTTTGATTCAGTGTAAATCGATATTTGATGTTATACGAATGTTATGTTATTTTTGCATAATAGATATGTTGAAATAAAAGAATTGATTTTGATAAGTGTAGCTACAAGATTTTACAGTTTCCACAGTAGATTTTGTGTTTCCACGTCCAAACATACTAACATATAAAAATACTAACATATAAACATAGAAAGTACAGTCGTCAGCATAATGGAGTAACAAATATTTAATGGATCAGAACAGAATAAAGCTTCATACCAAATATATTTATCAAACAACAGGAATTCAAAATAAAGCCTGTCTCTCATAAAGGCCTGGAGGTAAACAAAGGGTAAACAACCACTATTTGAGACGTGAACAGTACGTGTTCAGTCTGATCTCAGGCGTTGACACTCACCGTGTACCTGGCCTTCCACACTGGCACCTGACAGGACAGGATGTTCAGGTACTTCCTGGGCTGTCGGTAATCCCAAAACTGAACACAGACAGACCACACGGGAGAAAATACACAAGTTATTGAAATGTGAGGAATCATTTTTGTGAGAAATGTATCACCTTTTTTTGCTGAATGTGCTCAAAAGTTTAAGAAAGGGTCCCATCAGTTACAGCTGATATGGGTCTTGTGTCAGAACATTTGAAGGAAGCATCCCTCGCAGTGTGTTTCCCCTACATGTACCAAAATCGGTAGGCACACGTATCACATCCGGCGAACGAAAAAGCAGTTTTAATAACCCGACTGTGTGAGTGTCTGTTGTCCTCACCCTCACTGAGTTGTCCTGGCTTGACGTGGCGAGGATGAACTCGTTGTCTGGATGCCAGTCGAGGCCGTGGATCTTCGACAGGTGAGCCGCCACGTACTCTGCCGCCGTGTTCGGCTTCTGTTCGGAGAGAAATCACACAAACATTTAACACCGCTGGCGCTCACGTACAGCTCGCCGTGCGGCTCAGATAGTGTACAGTGTCTGCTCACTCTTTTATCCCAGATCCGCACGTCCCCGTCATGACTGGACGCCAGCAGGTACTGGTTCTTCTTGTTCCACTTCACCTGAGATGCCCCGGCTGGAAACACGAGAGAGAGACAGACGGGAGATCAATACGCAAACTGATGGACAGGAATAATAAATAGCCTGGTCCTTTAAATACTCACCGACAGCGGACAGCGCCACCGTCGGTTTACGGGTGTCTCTAAGGAGTCAAACAGAAACTATATGAAGGGTTTAGAAACTCAACGTCTTTATGTTTAATTAATGATAGAAACCCGTAAAAACAACCTGTAGATGACAGTTTTTGTTCCTGGAGTAAATATTTAAAGATTTGGACCAATGTGGATGAAGAAAATAACGTTTGTTACATATTTCATGTTTAAGGAGACAGAACGTCCTCAAACCACCTGATGAGTCACTGTTTCCTCTCACCTGGTGTCCCAGATGTAGATGTATGTGTCCACTGAGCTGGTGACCAGGAACTCCGGTTCAAACCAGGACCAGTCCAGATCACTGAGGACACGAACGCATCACAGTGAGTCCATGAATGCATCACAGTGAGTCCAGAGAGGTGTGTTTGATTTGTTACCTGATGACTCTGGTGTGTCCCTGCAGGGAGGTGTGAACTTCTCCACAGCCGTCCCTCCACGAGTACAGATCCACACGCTGGTTACTCTGCACACACACACACACACACACACACACACACACACACTCAGAAACGGTTTTCTTTCTGTCTGTTTCAGGATCAGATGTTTAGGATTCAATTCAATTCAGTTTTAT